GCCATCCAGGGGTTGAACCGCGTGGATGAAACTGTGCATGGACTTTAGTCTCTTCTTTACTGTTTCATGCTGGAAGAGGGGGTGGCGAGGGTCATTTTCTTGGTTAAGTTTCTCTACTTGGGATGAAGCCATTCGTCTAACGTGTGGGGGAGCGATGCCACAGAGCAGGTAGATGCGTCATAATAGTACGTGTATACACGGTCGACGCAGTACACAATCAAGATCAAGATCAAGACTGCTTCGCAATAGCTACATAAAGATGAAGAAAATGTCTAGCAGTGGTAGTGCAAGCGCAACCCTACCAAGCGGACAGTTGATCGTTGGAGTTCTGTTTCGGAACCTCACAATAATAATATCAAGAATGTATGATATAGATCTATCGATCTATATATTGTACTATATATGTTTGTCATTATTAACTCCTGGTGTTATGTAGAGCATAAAAGTCTACAGGGTATACCTGTATATATACAGGAAAATACAGGAAAATACTTGGTGGTTCTGTAGCTATCTCTAGTTATAATATACGTAACTGTGAGGTTGTAGGAAGGCAGAAAAAAGGGAGCGGCATATGTAGGTATGCGGGTTATGTAGTGCATAACTTACGTTGTGTATGTGGGATATGACTTCTGTGTGCGTCGATCCCTCCAATGTTTTCCCGTTCACCTCTAAGATTTCATCTCCAACCTCCAGATTCGCTCTGTCTGCTGGTGACCCTGGTAAACAACAACAACAACAACAACAACAACAACAACAACAACAACAATAACAAATAAATAATGAATAAATAATAATAATAAAGATGTTTGCTCGCAACCTGAGTAAACAACCAGAACAGCAACAACAATAACAATAACAGCAGCAACAACAACAACAACAACAACAGCAGCAACAACAACAACAACAACAACAACAGTAATACAACTGTCTACTGCTGTACCACGACGATCCACTCTCATATTTGTTAAGCTGCATGGGTTTACACTACCGACTTTGTTTTGGCGAATTGGCAAATTGGACCATCTTCCCAACTATACAACCGACAATCGGCAGTGTAAACGCAAATGTTTCGCGGCTAACCGATCGATAGAAACTAGTTGGGAGATTAGAACATGTTCTACTTTCGCCAACTCGGAGTTGCCGAATTGCGAAATTGGTCGAACTTGCCATTTCGCCAACATAAAGTCGGTAGTGTAAACCCAGCTTTAGTCAGCCACTGCCGTGAGGTAATGTGCATTACATCAAGAGTACATAATGGGAGCTAGATGGAGAATGTAATCTCCCATTATGTACTCTTGATTACATGTATCATGTAGATGTGATAATCCAACATTTGGTAGACATCTTTGCAGAATTTGAACATTTTTTCAGAATTCAATCTCTCATTCGCTCTCTCTCTCTCTCTCTCTCTCTTTCTCTCTCTGCACGCTCCTTTTTACGCCTCTCTCTCCATCGCCCTCAATAAATGTCTAGCATTCATACGCTAGCAAGCAACACACGCTGCTTTCTCCTTTGCTCTCCCTCTTTCTCTCTTCCTTTCTCTTCCTCTCTCGCTCTTTCTTGCTAT